TGTTGCCAAGTGTAGAGACTGTACATTTGTAGATAAACATGACAGCTATTGCAGATATGATTGAATGAAGATTGTCGGCCAGGACAAAACTCCCTTCACTTCTTGAATGGTTCCATGGATCGTCAATTCCCACCGAAACAGATGAAATCTCAGTTTAACATCTCATCACAAAGATGGCACTCTGTGATATTGTGGTGCGTGCCATGTATCATGACGATATTCAGATGGAACTGAACCAAGAATATTCAGACTCCGAGGTGAGAGTGCTACCAACTAATCTAACTAAGCTAACGAATTAGCAGGCAAGTGTCCCCGTCCCAACAACAGCTGAATTACGAATCTGTAAAAATATCATAATATACTCCCTGAATAATTAAGTGAATTCACTCATCCTCACATCTTCATTATTCAAACCTAGACTCCGAACCTCCACAGACAGTTTCTCTCCCACACTCTTCCTCCCCGGCAGTAATCACCACTTATTGATCCCCTTCTCTACATCTCTCAGCTCTTTTGTTTTGGAGAAGCCATTGAACGTAGAATCAACCGTCCTTGATTAGCAATCTGACCACTCTAACCTGCACTGGACTGTGGGAGAACATTGCTTCTGGTCTCCAGTCCTTGTTGATAGGCTGTTCCACTTGTTGAGGAGTACAAAACTAGACGGATGTAAATATAAGACAATCAGTAGACCTTTCAGTGAGTTTAGGAGGAACTGCTTCATACAGAGGGGAGTGAGAATGTGGAATTCGCTTAAGGAAGTAGTGCTTGAGGCAAAAAGAAATTTGCATAGCATTTAACTTGCATTTATATAGCGCCTTTCACGCGGGATAGCATCCTGGAACGCTTGATAGTGTAGAAGTCTGACGCCGAGCGAGGGGGAGAGGTGACTGAAAGCATGATGAAAAATGAAGGTCTTTAGGTGGGATTTGAAGGTGGAAGGGGGGGGGGGGGGCAAGGAGAAGGGATTGAGGGAGAGAGTTCCAGAGTTTCGGGGCCTATCTTAAGAGTAAACTTGACAAATACATGAGGGAGAAGGGTATAGTTGAGGAGAATAAGTAGGGTGAAGGCAAACAACTGGCTCCCTCCACTAATGAAATAACATGACACACAGCCCTAATTGAACACATTTTGCATCCAAATAACTCTGCTCCTTATATTCCATCTCTGCCAAATTGCATTTATACAACAACTTTCATGTCAGAAGGATATCCCAAGGCACTGGACAGTCAAGAGTTTGCACATGAGCTGGGAATAGAATATTTACAGATGCCTGATATCCATCCCATTGATGCTGCATCACCTACCAGAGTAGGTTTATGTTTTATTAAGAAGATTACTACTACTATCGAGAGATATGCCGCTGTTGTAATATATGAACTTAATACTGCAGGCATTTGCTTCAGACAATAACCACCCACTTCTTACAACCTCAACATTTCCTGATTCTTTACCCAGAATCATTTTCCAAAGTAACCTAAAAATAAAACATTAACACATAACACATACGGAGACAAACACACACATATATATACATATATTAAAAATGAACCTAAACCTCGCATAACTTGCAGCCTCAACAGCTTCTTTTGAACAATACTGCACTGAGGCCTGCGTTGCTGGCTGCAATTACCCAGTGCACAAGTAGGTGTGTTCATGCATAAGAGGCCGCATAACCTGGTGCGTCCCCATATTACTCACACACAATATACAGTAACCACAGATAACTGCTTCAGAAGGTCTCTTGCACAGAACTGCAACTGAGGCCTGTGCTGATGGTCCCAACCTAAATCTCATGCATTGTACTGTATTGTGACAGAATGAATAGATACAGAACTATCTGGATTTGCTAACAATGTACGTATAAATTAAACACGTATACTATGTGGCCAACTAGGTTGTAGAGCTGTAGATGCCCACACAGGTTATAGAGATATCGGTCTGAATATATAAGCATACCGGGGTATGTACACCTTGCACATAATATAATGAAGCTGCTCTTGCTAATAATAAATAATAACCGGCCAGGACACCAGGAGAGAGAAACTCACTTTTATTATTCGAACAGGCCACAGGGTATTGTCCACCTGAACAGGCAGATGGAGCCTCGATTTAACATTTTATCCGGAGTACGGCATCTCCGACAATGCAACACCCCCGGCACTGGACACTGGAGTGTCACCTTAGACCCCGTGACTCCAAGTCTCAACGTGGGGTGAAAACCCATAACCTTCTGACTCAAGAGGCAAGAGTGTTCCTCAGTTAGCCAAGCTGACACACAGATCTTTCCCATGTGCTACACGGGTTGCATTAATTATAGCGGCCCATATGCTGGGTAGCATTCCCCAGCCCGAAAAACCTGCCTATGTTATAAAAAACATACAGTATACAGAGATCTGTAGCGTAGCCGCGAACACGATGCCCTCAGATCGGCCTCACAAGCAGAGAGGACCTATGTTTGATTCCCCCGGGCCGGGCGAAACGTTTGGGCAAGTTTCCTTACTCCACACGCCTTTGTTTACCTCGCAGTAAGTAGGCGGTTGTTAGTTGATAGGCCGGATCACTTGGTGATAAAATAATAGTGTGGTTACTAAATCCACCAACTTTGGTGTCACTGCTGTGCACGATTGGCTGCGGTGTTTCATCCACAAAACATAGTCAATTCATTTTACAGTATATTCTGTGAAGCGCTTTGAGATGTCAAGAAGGCGCGATAAGGGGCCATATCAGATACAAGGATTTAATTATTATTATTTCCTGTACTAAACCTGGTGTGTGCCCACACAGGTCTCCCATGTACCAAACCTATTGCGTGCCATATTCTACACACAGTGTACACATGATCTCCTGTGTACTAAACCTGGTGCGTCCATATTCTACCACACAATATACACACGGATCTCCTGTGTTCTAAAGATCTTTCCCGTGTACTAAAACCGACGCGTGTCCAGATTATACATTATACTCCACACTATATTCCCGTGACCTGGAGTGTTTTCATATGTCGTACACACGGGTCTCTCATATGTACTGAACTTGGTGTGTGCCATGCTACACACATCCACGCGCGCATGCGCGCGCACGCACACAAACACAGTACACACAGGTCTTTCCTCTTTATGAAACCTGTTATGCGCATGTAGAGCGCTCGCGTGACACAGGGCGCGCACAGGTCTCTCCCATGTACCAGGTAGACCTTTGGGGGTTCACATGTGTCCCTCCCGTGTACCGGGCAGATCTGTTGTGCGCTCATGTTATACACACACGTGTCCCTCCCATGTACTGGGCAGTGTCTTAGACATTAGGCACAGAATGTTACACACAGAGCTTTGCCGGAGTGTCCCACACACAGCGCACACCGGTCAGTCACTCACTCTCTCTATCCTGTGCACTAATACCCCCCACACACACACACACCCCACACACACACACCACCACCTCACACACACACACCACCACACACACACCCCCCACACACACACCCCCCACACACACACACCCCACACACACACCCCCCCCACACACCCCACCCACACCACCCCCCCCCACACACCC